GAGACCCTGTTGGTTCTGAGTATCTTGGAAAGCTGGGAACTTACAGGAAAAGGGTCCTGGGAAGAACTGAACCTTGCCCCAGGGCAGGTGTGTGTGTGTGTGTGTGTGTGTGTGTGTGTGTGTGTGTGTGTGTGATCAAAATCCAAGACCTCTCCCAGTACCTCTGCACCATTACTGTAGTGTAACAGACAACATGTCCCTTTTTCTGAGGAGTTACTGCATCTTTTTTTTTTTTTTTAATTATAAAAGATACAATCACAACAACCAAAAAAAAATAACCAGAAACATGTAACAATAGTTTTTGGGGGGAGGTACCGGAGATCCAACTCAGGACCTTGTGCTTGCGATGCAGGTGGTGGCACCACGGACCTAAATCCTCGGCCCATGTAACAATAATTTTTAAAAAACTTCCTTTCTGGATTAAATTTTAAATAAAATCAGGATGTTCAACAGCAACTTTGTGTTCGTTTTGAAAAATAACTGTAACAAGATATATTAACTACAATCCCTTCTCCAAGGAAAACAACCACAAAGGAAACCCCAACCCTAAAGAAATGCAAATCAGCCTTACCGCTCCCCGCCCCACCTCACTAGGTGTAGGGTCTGACCTGGGTCCTATTCAGGACCGTACAGCATGGTAAGTGTTGCTCTTACAATAAAATAATATTCAAGTCAAAATCCTACTTACGAGGTGTAGAGTGTGTTCAGTGGTGGAGTCAGGTCCTGGATTTGATCTCTAGCACCAAAACAAAGAAACAGTTTTTAAAAATCCGACTTCCACTTCCAAACAAGACTAAATTTCCTGTTCACCTCTTCTTTGCTCCAAGACACAATGTTTAAGCCCCTCTCCATGAAACTGTGGCTGTACTTAAATCACTTTTTGTTTTGCACAAGGTAGAAATTTACATTTCTTTCTTTGGATGGCTCGGTCATAAAGATCCCTCCGTGCATTTAAAAAACCGAGGCTTTGAAGGTTCTGGGGTCAAAGAGATGCTTTGGAGGTTGGGGTTCTCCTGACACTTCTTTCTTCTAGGGCCTTCGAGGAACTTGGGGTTCCTTTGCAACCAGTCTCCCTGTGAAATAAGCTGCTGGGGTTGTCCTGGCAGGTTTTGGAGAAGCAGCAAGGACTCCGAAAATTTGCAGCAGTCTACTTTTCTCGCTCCTGGCTGGTCTGGGGGAGTAGACCCGCCCTGAGCGCTTATTTCTTTGTATATTTATAGTCTTCCCCAGGAAGATTGTATTTTACCGGGCTCTCAGGTTCCCCCCAAACCTGGGTACTTCGCCTCTTTCCTTAAGGGAAATAGCTCGTGATCACCAAGGTGCAAAACCACTCAGGCATTTGAGGAAGACACCCCCCCCCCAGCCCACCGCCTTCACCCATAGAATTCACTACCCCTGGCTTCATTTTACCTGGACCTGGAACTTGAAGTCAGATGAAAGCTAGACACGAGGGCTCAGATTTCACGGAAATGTTAACAGCTCCGGCTGTGGAGATAAAGTAAATAAATGAGTAAATACAAACAAACAAATAACAATGTCTTTTGCCAGCAAGACACACTACATTAAAAAATCTGCCGGAAGGAGCCCCCTACTGCATGTCAGACAAACTTGAAGACCACGCAGCCGGCCAGGGAAGACCCTACGCAGAGGGCGCGAGCTGGCGGTTTCCAGGAGGGAGGAGGGCAGGGGAGGAGTAAGGGAGACCTTTCAGGTGTGTCTTCCAATCCGACAGCTGTTTTGGTTGTGCATCTGTCCTCCCACCCCACCCCGCCCCCTCCCCGTTAATTAAATACACGCTCCCAGCCGGAGTTTACAGCTCTGGACTCGGCCCTGGGGGAGCTCTTTCCTGGTGATTGGAACTCTTAAAACTCAGGTCACAGAGGAGAAGCTGGCAACATGAATTTCCAGTTCCTAAGGGTGAGGAGAGAGGCCTGGGCGGAGCGCAGGGAGAGGAGGCAAGCGGAGGACCCTGCCAGGAGGGAGGGATGGCAGTGGGGGCAGGCGCGCGCCTGAGTGCGGGTGGCCGCTGCCGGGAGGCCGCACCCGCCCCAGACTGGAGCCGGGAGCCCGGTCTGCTCCTCCCAGCGTCTGGCCACCGTGGGCCTCCTCTTCCCCTTGCGGCGACCAAGATAAGTAGTTTGGCTTAGCTGGCCCGGAGGTGAGTGGCGGCTTCGGACCTCGAGCCACGGACGCCTCCAGGTAGACCCAGTGTCCCGCCCTAGACCTCCAGCCTGGCCTGCGTCGACCGGGCAGCTCCGGGGATGTCCGTGGAGGAGTGACAGCTCCGGGGAGCCTGCCTCGCTGCCGGGCCAGGTGCGCGCGGCCTCTAGCCGGCGGGGTCCCCGGGGCTGCGCAGGGGACGGCCAGGCGTGTCTTCGAATGGGCCCCCAAGAGCCACTAGGAAGGTGGCCTTGACTACTAAGCAACTTTGTGACTTTGAGGCAGTTGGAAGACTCAAAATCCGCCTTTGCTGGTTATGGAACGGGGCAGCTTGGGAGGCTTTGCCTGCGACGTTTCTTACGGAGAGTGAGGTACAAATGAGGGACCGCAGGAGATCTGGGACAGAAACGGACGGGTCTCCTCAGGAGCCTGGGGACCTCAAGGGCCCTCTGCCTCGCCTTGCTTTTGTGTAAAGAGTAGTTTGTTGTAAGGACGCGCTAAAGGCTCAGGAGGTGCTGCGCTCTGAGGCCTGGTAGTGCGTTGGAAGCTGGTGCTGGGGCGACTTGGAGCGGGCTGAGGCCGAGGCCTCACTGTAAGTATGCAGTGCCTGCTTCGCACGCTATTAGGCACATTAGCCGGGCGTGTGGCACACACCCTGGAGTCTCAGCACTCTGGGAGGCCGAGACAGGAGGACCACAGGTTCCAGTCTGGGCAACTTAGCTAGACTCTGTCTCAAAAGAAAGAATTAAACAGGGCTCGGGAATGTAAATATAGCTCAGTGTGATGGCCTTCAGTTCAATATCTAGCACTGCAAACAAAAGCAGCTATTTTCATCAATTAATTAATTTTGGGGGGCTGCCTGAGAATTGATGCCGGTAGGATCCCGAGGCAGGTGCCTTGGTGGGCTCTGACAGTTCTGGGTACTTTCTAAACCCCAGCGGGTGTCAGTCCCTGACCGGAGGGTGGGTGCAAGGATGTGCCCCCATCTGCCTCGGCCCAGCTCCTCTGTCCCATTCGGACCCCCCCCCCCCCCCCGCCTTTGACTGAGATCCCAGGCGGAGCTCGCGCTGTTCCGAGGGGTGGGACAGGCCCAGCGCGTGGCGGGTGTCCCCTAAAGCGCTTGGGGGCCTCCACCTGCAGCCCGGGCCCCCCTTCCCCTGGGGCGAGGAACCGGAGTCCTAGGCCCGCCCCGATCCAGCTCCATCCGCCGGCCTGCTTCTTCGCTCTGGGGTGGGGGTGGGGCGCAGAAGACTCCGGCCTGAGGCGGGGAACCCTAGCTCCGGGGGCGCCCACCTGGGCCGGGCCTGGTGGAGGTGGCTCACAGCCCGGCTCTGCTTTCCTTGCCGACTCGGAGACGCCGCGTCTGAGCCCGGAGTGTAAGACTGCAGGCTCCCTAGGGGGCAGCAGAGGGGAACCCCCCAGCCTTCCACCCCGGCATCCCCCCCTTTCACAGGGGAGGATCTGTCCTTTCGCCTCTGTTAGGCTAGGTGCGGGGGTGGGGTGGGGGTGGGGGGGGTGCCCAAGGGCGCGTCCTCCCGTGGGCGTGGGCGAGGGGTGGAGCTTGCGGGAGGCCGGTACCGGAGCTCGGCTCAGTTGGGCTTGCGCCATCCCGGCCGTCTGAAGCCGGGCGTGTAGTGCTGGGGCAGGGTCCGCCCAGGCAGGGAGAGGATCTATATGCTCCAGCCGCCTTCGCGCGCGGAGGGCTGCGCTGCAGTTGCCGGGCGCCTTTGCCAAGCGCCGGGCCCTTGGATCTCCCGCGAGGCGGTGCAGCCCCCGCGGCCCGCGGCTCCCTCGCCTCCGCCCTAGACGGAGGCGGGAGTCTCGGTCCCTCCGGGCGGCTCGGCTGGGAAGGACAGCTTGGGCTCGGGGTGGGGTGTAAGACCTGCAGCCCACTGCTGGCGCCACACTGAGGGAGGCGAAGGAGTCGATACGAGGGACTTTCAGGCTGTATCCTGATCGGGTCTTGGAGAGCAACCCGAGATCACAAGGCCCGTGGCGGAGGGAGAGGCCAGTGTCCCGGACCTGGGAGTCCGGGGCGCCGCAGCCTCCTTCTCGCGAGAGCCTGGGACCCCACCTTCCCGGCCCGGGCGTCTTGTTTGAGCAGGTGCCCCGCTCCCGCACCCCAACTCCAGGCGCGCGCCTTCTGCGGTTATTCCACCCCAGGGGCCCGGTGTTCGGGAGACGAAGTATCAGGATCGCATCTTTGAACGCTCGGTCCTATGTATTCCGAGCAAAGCCCCTCACACAGAGACAGACACCCTTGGTCCGAAAAACCCAGCGGTGCCAACTTCAAAGTTCTCTTAGCACATCTTGTCGGAAAGACACCTCGGCTCTGACTGCTAAGGAGAGGAGGGGCGTTTCGCTCGGAGGGCATCTAATTTTATCTTAGTTATTTATGGTAGGCCCACCTGAATCTAAAGAAATGCTCACCCAACCAGAGAGGGGCAGGAAGGTGGGGGATGCCGTGTTCTGTGGGTGCTGGGTCCGATCCATTCCGAGTCCAGGGCGCTATCTTGTACTGATAGTGATGATTACAAGATTGGATTTAGACTCAAATCGAAATTCTCTGTACCTCCAACTCCTTTGGAATATTTAAATCCAGCCCCAGGAGCCAGGAGGTTGTTCGAACAAAAACCCACCTCCCATTACCAACTTTTCTCTTGCCATGAGAATTGGTTCAATTAATAATTGGTTCAAAGAATTTCTTTTCTGTATATTAAAAATTAGCATTAAACGTTGCTTTTAGGTTTAGGGGAAGGAGACAAGGTTTATATGGAAGGAAGTTTCGTTTTTCACCTCCTCCTCCAACTCCGTCTCCAAGAGTTGCTCCCTGCAGCCCCCTCCCACGTCCGGAGCCTCCTTACCCCGCTCGCCCGGCTCAGGTTCGAGTCCGGCCCGCACCTCTCTCCAGGGAGAGTTGAGGCTGGGGGCGGGCAATGCTCGGCAGCGCAGGGCCGGGCCGGGCTGGGGAGTCGGTGCCCCGGCTGCAACCAGCGGCGGGAGACTGAGCTGCGGGCCACAGCGGCGGCGCGCTGCTGTTCCCACGCCGGCCGTCTCCTGGGCGCTGGGGCAGACGCCCCAAGCCTTTCCTCACTGCTTCCCGGGGCCGTGGGGCGGGCAGATGGGGGCCCCAGCCCGAGGGGGCGAGTGGGTGGGGCGTGCGTTTAGGAGCCGAGGGCACCTCGGTGTTGACAGCCGGTTTTCGGGGCTCTCGGGCGCTTGGATCCCGGTGCCAGCTCGGTCGAGGGGTCGAGGGTGTGGTGCATGACGGAGGGAGGCGCTCGGGGCCTCGGTCTCGCAGTCCCCACGTGCTGTACCGAGGCACCGCTCTCGGTTTCTCGAGCCTCGCGAGTGGGGTCCCGGACGCCGCGGGTGCGGGGCGGAGCTAGCCGGGACTGGCAGAGGCCGCCCTGCCCGCTCCTCCGCCGGCCCCCGGGGAGGAGCTATGATAATTTCCCTCAATAAGGCGCTGGGTCCCTGAGCGGCGGGACTCACGGCGCGGGCGCGGCTCCACGGCCCACGGCGTCCACGCGGTCAGCCGCCCATGAGCGCCCGGTGACCGGGACAGCGAGGCCCGCGCGGCGGGGCGGCGGTGGACAGCCGGCCACCGTGACCCCGATTTTGGATTTACCGCTCGGGGGGTGGGGGGAGCCTGGATTTAATTGGCGACTGTTTTGGGGGACGCCGGACGCCATGTTGTGGAAACTCACCGAGAATGTCAAGTACGAAGAGGACTGCGAGGTGAGCCGGCCCCGCAGGGACTCGCCCGGCGTGGCGGGCCGGGGTGGCCTCCGGGCGAGAGCCCGGCCCGGCGGACAGTGGCAGAGCGTGCGCTCGGGCTCCTGCGGGGTCGGCGACCCTGCCTTCCCGCGCGTCCTCGGAAGCAAGCGCGCCTGCAGCCCGAGACGCGCGCGGCCTTCTCGCTGGACGTCCGAGTCCCCGGGCCGGCTGGTCCCTGCCCGCTGTCTCCGGGGGAGCGGAGAGCCGGGCTATCCAGGGCGCTGGGGCCAAACGGGGCCGGGAGCTCTCGAGTGCTCCAGCCTGTCGGACAGGTTGGGCTGCAGTTTCGCGGAGTAGGAGGGAGGGAGGCGGCGAGCGGGAAGAGGAAGAAGACGCGGGCGGTGAGCGCCAGCCCGGAGAGGAACGGGGCGCGGGAGCGCAGGGCCCTCGGGACTTCGGGGGGCGCGCTGGTGCGGCGCGGACTCCCGCTAGGGGGCGGTAGCGCCCCGCTCCTGGCGTCCTGCTCCCCTGGTGACCTCGGGAAGAGGGAGAAGCGTTCCTCTGGAATTCCGGGCGGGCGAGGGGAGTGCGCCGGCCGGGCCGCCTGGTGCTGGGGTCTTCCGAGCCCTCTGCGTCCAGATGTGCGGGAACTCGGAGCGCGGCCGGGCACCGCGTGGCCCCACTGAGCCCGGCGAGACTGGCAGCCCCGGCGCCGCGGGCGGCTTCGGGAGGGTGGCACTGCCTGGGAGCGTCACCCGCCCAGAGGTCTTCGTCCGGGGGGCGTGGAAGGGAGGGTCCCCGGGGTGGGGAAGCGCTCTTCATCCCGCCCGGCCGCTCCCCTAGCCACGCCACTGCGACATGTGCGGGCTGAAGAGCGAGCGCGCTCGGCGTGGCTTCCCGCGCGCGCCAGCCTCTCCGGGCGCCGGCCCCCGCCTCTCCGGGCCCAGGCCCTGGGGTCCGTGCTCGGCACCTCGGGGCGCCGCGGGCGTCGGAGCGCCCGGAACTTCGCCGCCGGGCCTGGAGCACCCATGCCCCCAGGTCGGAGAGCCCGGGGGCGCTCGGGGCCGGGGCAGGGCCCCGCGGCGGCGGCGGCGGCGGCGGCGGCAGGGCGGGCCCCTGGGCGCTCGGCTGCCTTCGGGACGCGGGGCGGTTCGCCGGAGCGGGGTTCGCACTAACCGGGGCTGCGCTCCTCCTTTCTCCAGGACCGCCACGACGCGAGCAGCAATGGGACCCCGCGCATCCCCCACCTCTCCTCGGCCGGGCAGCACCTCTACAGCCCCGCGCCGCCGCTCTCCCACGCCGGAGTCGGCGAGTACCAGCCGCCCTACTTCCCGCCGCCCTACCAGCAGCTGGCGTATTCGCAGTCGGCCGACCCCTACTCGCATCTGGGCGAAGCCTACGCCGCCGCCATCAACCCGCTGCACCAGCCAGCGCCCACCGGCAGCCAGCAGCAGAGCTGGCCCGGCCGCCAGGGCCAGGACGGGGCCGGCCTGCCCTCGCACCACGGCCGCCCCGCCGGCCTGCTCCCCCACCTCTCGGGGCTGGACGGCGGCTCCGTGAGCTCCCGCAGGGACGCCTACCGCCGCTCCGACCTGCTGCTGCCCCACGCGCACTCCCTGGAGGCCGCGGGCCTGGCGGACAACCTGGGGCTGCACGACATGGCTCACCCGATGGACGAGGTGCAGGTGAGCCGAGGCTCCGGCCGGACCTTCGAGCCCACAGCCTCCCCTCTCCCCCGCCGCCCCCAAACTTAAAGGAAACTTTGTCGTTTCTCCCCCAGAATGTGGACGATCAGCACCTGCTTCTGCACGATCAGACTGTAATTCGCAAAGGTAAATAAGAGTGCGCCCCAACTTGCGGAGTCACCACTTACCGGCAGGGCCGGTCGTGGGGACCAACACGGGACCTCTGGTGCAGGGCACCGGCCGCGACTCAAGGAGGCTGGGGTTTCCGAAGAAGAAAGGATTTCTTTCCACTTGAACGAAGAGGAGCGTTCTGATGGAAGAGTTAGGAGCTTTTCTCTCGGTCTCTGAGGTGTTGCCCCGTGGCTTTCTGGGGAAGTGGAACTCTGAATGGCAGAGGTGTTCTCCGGGGCCGGGCGGAGAAGCGAGGTGGTATAGTGACTTTGCAAAAACCACACAGACTCGCCTCAGTTGAGTGATGGGTTCTGCGGCAGTTTAAATTGAATGAGTTGATGAGATTTTGGTTTGTTCTTTTTCAAACACTTACGGGAGGGGCTCCTTCATTCTAATCTACCAGAAAAGGCTCTGAAATAGTTTGGCTTGCTAAACAGTCCTAAAGGGAACAGAGCTTCTCCAACTGTCGGAGGCTGGGTTTTGCAAGGGAGGAGAGAGATTGGGAAAAGTTCCATACCCGACAGGTTTACCCCTCCGGCCATTTGGGGAAATGGAGTAGATAGACCTAAACTGAAGCTAGTCAAATTCTGTAATTTGAAATTGAACGGCTTGAATGGGTAGGGGAACGTGGGGTGTGGAGAACAGTTGAAAAATAAACTGAAAAATCCCAGTATACCTTCCAAAAGAATGGGTTAGTTTGTATTCTGAACTTTACCAAGATCAGTTGTACTGAAGGGTTTAAGCAAAAAGAGCCCAATGGGACCTGGAGGCTTAGTTGCTCCTTGATTGAAGGGGGACGAATCCTCATTTATTTGTATTGAAAACAAATGGTCTCATTAAACAGCTTATCTTGGGAGACAGAACCAAAAACCCTCAGCTTGGGCTCTGCCTAATTAGCTTCCCAAGGTGTTAACTTGTGAATTGCAGATTTGATTTATTTTTGAGCGAAGAAGAATAAAATGTCAGCTTGCAATTCCCAGTCCAGTGTTCAGGCTTTGCTGTTTGTCCAACGGCTGCTTTCAGTTTTGGTGGGTGGTTTTGGTGACCTCTGGGCCTGGTGTCCCCACAGGTCCCATCACGATGACCAAGAACCCCCTGAACCTTCCCTGCCAGAAGGACCTGGTGGGAGCTGTGATGAACCCAAGCGAGGTGTTCTGCTCGGTCCCCGGAAGGCTGTCTCTGCTCAGCTCCACGTCTAAATACAAAGTGACGGTGGCTGAAGTGCAGAGGCGACTGTCACCGCCTGAATGCTTGAACGCCTCCCTCCTGGGCGGGGTTCTCAGAAGGTACTGGGGGCCGTCTGGAGGTGCAGGGGTTGGGTAGCTGAAAGTGAATATGTAACAGAGCCGAGAGGTATTTTTAACATTTATGTAACTTTTATACCTAACGCTGAATTCTAATAGGTGCAGAGAGAGTTTGAAGCACACTTGTCTTCTAGAAAGTGCCAAATGTAGAAGGAAGTGCTAAAACAAACGCTAACAAATTATCATTGCTGGGGACTGGATTCCATGTATGAAGTGTAGCATCTGTACTGAGGGAAGGGGGCTGGCTGCTGGGTTCTGTTTCCCGGGAGCGTCTGGGAGGAGCTTTGCAGTTTTGTAAGTGAAGATTTATCTCTCTGCTCGGGTACAACTTGCAGTGTTCTGTGTTTTGTTGTGGGTTTCTGTGTTTGTGTTGGGAGGTGGTGGTTTTAGGGAAGAGTTTGGATTTTAATTTTACAGGGATTAATAAAAAGAGGACCCTGTAGTGTTTGACGGGTGACCGCTTTGACAGCAGCGCTTCAGGAATGGAGAATTTTCACAGTGCAGCTTCTTGAGAGTCGCCAATTATCTCTTCCCAGAGCTAAATCCAAAAACGGAGGCCGGTCCTTGCGGGAGAAGCTGGACAAGATAGGACTGAATCTTCCAGCCGGCAGGCGCAAGGCTGCCCATGTGACGCTCCTGACGTCCCTTGTGGAAGGTCAGTGCCACTGTGTTTCTCTCGAAATGTGGCGTTTTTAATTTGTGCTCTGTGTTGTCTTTAATACTTTTGTTAAAAAAAAAAAATTAAGCCAGAAAACAACTCAGAGACTCCCATCACACTAGAGAGAGATGAAAGCAATTTCAGTTGCTCGGTTTTGTACAGGGAATCATAATTTATTAAATAACTTAGTTAAGGATCTGGCTGCCTACATGCTCTATTCCAGGTTCCCCAGAAAAATCTATTAATTGGGGCGTTTTGGGGGGGGGGGGTTTGTACCGGGGATCGAGCTCGGGACCTTGTGCTTGGGAGGCAGGCAGCAGAACCACTGAGCTAAATCCCCGGCCCCAGAAAAATCTGTTAAAAAGAAGTTGCTAGCCCGACATGGTGGTGGTGCTCCCCCCTGTCATCCCAGCACTTTGGAGGCTGAGGCAGGAGGGTTGCAAGTTTGGGCCCACCCCAGGCAACTTGAGTGACTTAGTGAGACCTTGTCTCAATTATAAAAGGTGGGAGGCTAGGGTTGTGGTTCACTGCAGAGGCCCTGGGTTCAGTCCCAGTATAACCAAAAAAGACAAAAAAGGGTTTTTCCTGAGTGAAACAGTTGTTTAAATGAACCTGTTTTTGAAAGATGGTGATCGTTTGGTCCATCTTTTTGGGGGGTGGGGGGGTACTGGGGATTGAACTCAGGACCTTGCGCTTGTGAGGCAGGTGGCGGAACCACTGAGCTAATAAATCCCCAGCCCCGGGCTGTCTTTTAAAAGCCAGCTACTCACTGGTGGGCAGAAGTGTTGGGTCTGATTTTCATAGCCGTTGGAATATTGGAATTGCCGTCAGTACACACAATGGAACTGGCCCAATTCCCAAGTCCTTCTTCCCATCAAAAGAAAAAAGTAATGGAACCCTTGGTCAACAAAAGAGCTCTTGCCCCCCATCTTCAGATCGTAGTATGTGGCATTTCAGTCTCCAGCATGGGAAACCCTCCGCCCAGTCTGGAAAGTAGCCCAGAATGCAGCACAACCTTTAAAAGAGGGCGAGCGAGCAGGCCATCTTTTTAAATTTTTTAAAGCAAAACCAGCAGCACAGTGCTGGGGACCCCGTCCAGGCCCTGCGCAGGAGCAGGGCTGGGCAGCTGGGGAGCAGCTTGCCTGCGGGGAACCTTACTTCCCTCTGCGGTGCTGAGAGACTTGGCAGAGTCTCCTTTTTCATGAGTGCCTGCGGAGGACCGGTGCAGAAAGGCCTGCCTGTGAGAGCAGCCGCCCGCGGGGAGCCTGGCAGGGCCCCCACATGCAGTATCCACACGCATCTGCAGGGCTCCCTCGCCAGCCGGGCAGGGGCACTGAGATGGACAGCATGCCCCAGTAACGGCTCTCGGCCTGAGACGCCATGGCCAGGGCTCCCTCCAGCCGTCTGTTTGCTTACAAGGCTCTAGTCTGGTACCTTGAGCCAGGAAGGGGACCTGCCTCTGCTTCCCCAATAACTGGGACAACGGGAAGGAAGGTTCCAAGCTGCTGTTTTGAGGCTCATATTCACTTCCAATAAGAAACACGCCCCCTCCTTTTGTTTTGGGTTTGTTTGAGACCCGGTCTGGCTATGTAGTCCAGGCTGGCCTTGAGCTCACTTTGTACCTCATGCTGACCTCGAACTGGTAGCAATCCTTCTGCCTCAGCCTCTGGAGTGCTGGGATTACAAGTGTGTGCGACTGCACCTGATACCCCTTCCTTTGGGAAAAGAAAAAAAGAAAGAAAGAAACATTCTAGAGCTCTGCCCTTTTCAGTATAAGGGCTCCTTTAAAAAAAAAAAAAAAGCCAGGCATGGTGCACACCTGCAGTCCCAGCACTGGCGAGGCTGAGACAGGAGGACTGCAAGTCTGAGCCCAGCCCTAGCAAGTTCAACGTCATCCTGGACGACTTAGTGAGACTGACCCTTATCAGGAGAAAGCACAGGTGTGTCTGATTATCTGTTCCTCCGGAAAGGGACTGTAGACTTTCTATAAGCACAGTTAAAAATCCCAGAGTCCTCACCCATCACCTGGTATGGTTCTCACTCCCTTGATATTCCCGGGCTAGAGCTCCACCCTGCTGCGGGAGAGTTTGTCCTGGGCGTGATTTCATAAAGAATGCAAAGTGACTGGTAGACAGTGAAGGCCAGAAAGAGGGGAGGACGGGCTGGGGATTTAGCTCAGTGGTTCCGCTGCCTGCCTCCCAAGCGCAAGGTCCCAAGTTTGATCCCCGGTACCAAAGAAAAAAAAAAGAGAGAGGGGAAGGGCAGTTTGCCAGCAGTGACTCTGACCAAATCTGTTGTTGGTGATCACTGTAGGCGAAGCAGTCCATTTGGCCCGAGACTTTGCCTATGTCTGTGAAGCAGAGTTTCCTAGCAAACCAGTGGCAGAGTATTTAACCAGGCTCCATCTTGGAGGACGGAATGAGATGGCAAACAGGAAGAATATGCTTCTGGCTGCACAGTAAGTACCCAGGTTGCTCTTGACCTTGAAGTTTAGGATTCAGCAGTCCCTTGGGCTCCAAAAAAAGGGGAGCATTCATGAAGTAAGATGTAGCAAAAAAGAATGGCGGGCTGCTTTCACAAAAGCTAGATGCATTCAGTCCTTTACTGCGGATCAAATCCAGGGAGCATTGAGCTACATTCTCAGCCATTTTAATTTCATTTTTGAAACAGGGTCTTTCAAAGTTGCCCAGGCTGGGGTAGGACTTTCAGTCCTCCTGCCTCAGCCTCCTGAGTAGCAAGACTTGTTTTTTAAAGTCTTGAGCAAATTAAATGTCTCACAAGCTCCTTGATGTAGCTGTGGAGTTTCTCTTGGAGCCCAGCAGTAAGTTGGTTTTCGATCACGTTCAGTGAACCAGAGCTGTTTGCCTGGGGAGACGGAGGAAGAGGGCAATTTCTTGGAGGTGAGGATATTCTGGGTTCCTGATTAGGGCTTATTTGTTGGAACTAATTTGTACCAAAATAAACTGCCCCTCAACCCGAAGGTCTTGATAACCTTGGCCAGCTGATAAGGGTTGATGCTGTTATCTTTCCTAATTGAAGCAGGGATTAAATAAGATAGTGCTTATTAGAAAGCCGGGGTGGGGGGGGAGCCCTTAGCTCAGGGCCCGGCAGATAATAGGTGCTAAGGGCTACAGTGTGATACACAGTGCTCTCCCATCATCGGGCAGCTGGTACCTCTGGGACAGGGATGCGTGGACCGCAGGTGATTCAAGCCGACCACGGGAACATAATAGAGTAGCTGCCTGCCGGCCTCAGACTCTGGCCCCATCGGGGAGGCATTCAGGCGTTCTTCCTCCATTCCGCAGCTGATTGAGCTCCAGGTGCCCCCTTAGGGTAGTTGGTTCTTTGCCCCTCCCCTGGGAAGTGCTAAATTCAGCTAATGGGACCCCCTTGACTGTCTTCTTCACAGGCAAGTGTGCAAGGAGTTCACGGACCTCCTCAATCAAGACCGGACCCCCAATGGGAACAACCGGCCCACCCCCGTCTTGGAGGCGAACATCCAGGGCTGCCTGTCTCATTTCAGCCTGATCACCCACGGCTTTGGCAGCCAGGCCATCTGCGCCGCCGTGTCCGCCGTGCAGAACTACATCAAAGAGGCCCTGATTATGATAGACAAGTCCTACATGAACCCGGGAGACCAGAGCCCCGCGGATTCCAGCAAGACTCTGGAGAAAATGGAGAAGCACCGCAAGTGACAGTGGGTGGACCGAGGGCCAGAGCTTCGGGAAGGGCAAGGACTGGAAGATCCACCCTGCTCCACCCCCCACAGACTGCAAGCCTGGCACCTGGGGAGACAGCTCACTGCCTGCCCGATCTCTGCCCGCGTCACGGCCATTCTGATTTCCCTCCTGGACTCCTTGGTTTCTCCAGTGCTGAAGTCTCTCTCTCTGGACATTGGATCCCAAGGTGACAAGCACTGGGTTTGGCTTTTGTTACGTGTTACGCATTTATACTTTGGAACCCCAAGCATCCTGTCCCTCGAAGTGGTGCTACAAGTTTTAAAATCAATAAACTGCCTGGGCCTCCCAAGAAACCATCCACTTGGCTGTTGTAATGTCAAATTGATGTGACATTAACAGATCGACAGCTTATTTTTTCAGTGTTAAGATACAATGGCTGGTTTTTGTATCCACTAAATATTTACCCTAAAACAGCGAGTCCTTACCTAAGTTCTTTGGCGATCACATCCTCCGGAGGGAGGAGGAGTTCTTTGTGCTTAGCATCTGGTTAACGGGTGGTATTCAGCACACTTTACACCCCAAGTTCAAAGGGGCCCTTCTGGTTTTAGAAAACTTGTAGAAACAAAGCCTGCTGATTTCATGTTTCTTTTTTTAACTTTGAAAGTTAACTCTTTAAATGGGAAACTCTTGGCAATGGACCTCTTCCTGTAAGGTACTAAAGCTTTATTTGCATATTTATTTCAGATCTTGATTTTTTTTTTTTTTTGAGTAAACTTGAAAAGGGTAGGCGTGAAGCCTGGCAGCTGCCTGTCACCCCAAGTCCCTGCGGAGCTCTGTATGTTGAGAAACAGTGTGTTTGTTGTGTGTACAGATTTTATTTATGCATAATTTAACGGGGTCTGTAAATACTGGTGTACTTCCTATGACTTTTTGAGAAATGGGATTCGATTTTAATATTAACTTTTAATGGTGATGGGGTAATCTATAACATCTTTAGAGTTTATTCACCCGTACACAGGGTCTTAAGAACTGAGAGGATACCAGGCTTTGCTCTTGGTTTGGAAGAGTCTATTTAACGGGCTCTCTCAGAAAGCAATAACTTGCTATCTCATTGCTGACTCAACCCTGAGATGGGTGTGGGGAGAGTTTGTGTGGGTTTGTGAATGTTCCTCAGATAACTGCTGTGTATGGTACTTGTATAATAAAAGTATTCTCGATAGAATCTTTGAATGTCTGATTCTAACTTTTTTTTTTCTTTTAAGTCCTTCCATGAGTGGGATAGTAGAGCTGATTTCTGGTCTGAATGGGGCCTAGAATAGACTGAGTGGGGAAGTTGTGTGCGCCCTGGAGAGATCTGAAATTCCGTTTTCTCTTCCTAGTGAGACTCTTGGTTGTCCTGGCTCTTCATCACAGGGTGGAGAACCGTCCTCCTCCCAACCTGGTGGCCTGGGAAGCGGAGAAAGGGTAGTTGGCATCCCAGACTGAGGTGCCAACTTTTTCTGGGTGGTGAGGATTGAACCTAAGGGCTCGGCTGTTAAAGCACGTGCTCAGCCACTGAGCTGTAGCCCTCGCCTAGGGCCAGCGTTCTGAGAACAAAGTCTGAGGCCCCTGAGCTGTCCTCTCGGTTGTCACGTGTCTGGTGCAGATCAGCAGTGGTATTGCTTAGGCTCAGGCACCTGCCCCTTAGGAGAAGGAGGCACTGGATCCAACCAAGCAAGGGAGGTGTGGGCTGTGGGCGTTGCAATGCGTGGGAATACTCAGTCTTCGGGAGTGAGCCCCTGCCAGCTGCCCGAGGCATCCTAGCCACTTCGCCTGCCTGCCAGGCAAATCTCCATGCTTTGGGGAGTGGAGGAGTCCAAGGGGTTAGGGACTTGGGGGATGTTCCAAGGAATCTTGGATGCTCATTGCCAGAACTTGATTTCAAATCAATCTAGCTGAAGTGGCCTGGCGTATCCTCCAGGAAGTGATATGTTTACAGTTTGGCATGGGTAGCTGGCCTTCAAAGGGAAATGGGAGCAAAAGGATTTTCCACATTGGATAAGGCCACTGCCTCCAGTCCGGTCTCAAAATTCTTAATTCATAATTCACCACATGCTCGGCAATTCCTGACTCTGTTGGCACTGGGTGCTCTTAAGTAATTTAAGCTCTGCCAACCTAATACTTTGCTCTTGGCAGCTTGTCCTTGGCTGCTGAATGTTCCCATTAAGTTGGCTTTATCTGGTTGATATGTCAAGATCATAATTGGCTCACTTTAGAGCAACGAAGAGAGGTCTTAGGCGGGTAGTTATTTCTCAATCAAGGCTTAAGACAGTAGGTGTTAAAAAGAAGGCATGGGGGCAAAGGGCTGAAGGCAGGACTGTGCCTTAGCAGCAAGCTTGCTCTGGGACTAGAGGCTGGCTTTGAGGAGCTGTGCCGAATCGCAGTGCAGGCAGCACACTGGAAATGCCCCAAAGTCAACCAGGGATCGAAGTGAGTCATGAACAGAGCTCCTTGTTCTGGTTCCCCTGTGCTTCTCCTTTACTCTCATTCTCACTGGAAGTGCAGGGGACGGCCACGGGTCCCTGTAATAACAGGTTCTTCCACTCCAGGCCTCGGAGCAATGCCAGGAAAACCACCAAGCCGGCAAGGGGACCCCCCTGACGTGTGGGGGATCTGCCCTACAGCACCAGGCACCAGCAGAGCCCAAATTTCTCCATGAGCTGAAGGGGCTTGGCTTCAAGCCCCCTGAAGAAGGAGATGTCCAGCTCCCGCGCCCTGGCTCACCCACAGCCTGGCTTGGTTTTTACTAAGGAACATGCTGTCGCTGCCCTTGGGAGGAGAAAGAAAGTGCCTTCATTTTTGTTTCCTGGTTGCACTGCAAGGAGCTCTGTCCCACTGCCTGGGATGCCATTACTCCTCGGCGGGAGTCATCAGCGGCTGGAGACTCCAGGAGCCCCAGTGGGAACCTATGGCACCTCAGGTTTTCCATAGCAGCTCACAGTGCTGTCTTATTTCCCCTGAGTGTATGGTTTAGGTTGTTTCTCATTTGACACAATTCCATAACCGCTGTATTCTCTTTTGGGGAGGCTTCTAGTATCAGGGCAAACTCTTTTTTTCTTTTTTTTTTGGTTTTTTGAGACAGAGTCTTGGTATGTAGTTCAGGCTGGCCTTGAACTTGAAGAGCTTCTCCTGCCTCAGCCTCCGAGTGCTGGGATGACAGGCGTATGCCACCAAGCCCAGTTTAGGGTAAACTCTTGAGACTTTTAAGTTCTGGATTTGACCAGGCATAGTGGTACATGCCTGTGATCCCAGCACTCTGGGAGGCTGAGATGGGAAGGGTCACAAGTTTGAGACCAGCTGGGGCTGTCTCAAAATAAAAAAGGCTAGGGATAGAGCTCAGCACAAAGGCCCTGGGTTTAATCCAGAAATAAAGTTACCAGATTTGAATATTAAAAACCACAGTGAAACAAGGTAAGGTCTCAGGGTAAGAAACCTAAGGAGAGCTCTTTCCACGGCCACTGCTTAGTTTCCCTGGGAGCAGCGGCTGTTGAGCATCTTGAGGACCTTGGAGGGGCAGGTGCCAGCACCCTGCAGCTCTTCGGTGCCTCTAAAGGGGCTGAGCGGGGTGCGGCTGGAGTGAGTGCTGCTCTCTTGCGCTCCCTTCAGTGGCAATTCTCTGGCAGCGGAGCAGCGACCCTTGGCAAAGGCTTCCCTGCCAGCTGGGCGAGTGGGCAGAAAGGGTGGTGGTAAAGGGCTGCTTTCGACACTCTGTGTCATGACGCCTGGGAGCAGGTGTTGCTTTTGGAAGACACCGACCTATCCTTTCTCCAATCTCGACCTATCCTTTCTCCAATCTCCGTGTACCTCGGCTCCTCTCCCGGGCGGCAGTCCTCATTTGCTTCTCTGGAATCTTCAGCTCCCTTCCTTGGGGACCTTAATGACACCTGGAGCCTTTGAAACTGGACCGTTTCCTGGTTTTGTCAACGCAGGCTGGGCTGGCGTTGCAGCCAGGGTCCACTGATAGCAAGACGCACATACCTCAAAAGCTTTGTCAGCTGCTCACGGGGGCAGGCTCTGCAGAAGCAACCTTAGGACCTGAAAAGGTGACTACTATACTAGACTCCGTATCTCACAGAATACTGAATTATTTTGGGCACGGCTCTATGAACACAATTTCTCTGCTTCAAAAGCAGGATAACATCTTGGGGGGGGAGGGGAAGAAGAAAAGCTGAAAACTGAATAGAGGCAAAAGGCACAATTCCAGGGACCTGCCCAGGCCATGGCTTTGTTTTTGATGTTGTTACTTTTGGTTTTTTGAGACAGGATCTCGTTTCATGGCCCAGGCTGGCCTTGGACTCCAAGCAACTCTCCTGCCTCAGCCTCCTGAGTGCTAGGATCCACGCCCAGCTGATGGCTTTGTGAAGAATGCTTACAGAGTCAAATCTATCTCAGTTGTTTGTTTTGTTTTGAAGATCCATGGAGTGTTGCTTTCCCCATTTTCCAAGGAGAGATCTTTGCCTTGTGGAAGGCCCTGTGGTGTGGTGACCTCTGACCCTTGCTGAGGTCTTCAGACTTCCTGGGTGTCAGGGCTTCCACTGTGTCCTAGACTCAGTCAGTCCTGACCCCAGCAGCTGAGAATGTGAGGGGTCACTGCAGGTAAGTGACATGAAGTCCCACAGAGAGAGTAGGCTTTAATCCAATATGGATATGTCTCGGAAGAACAAGAGGCTGGGTGTGGTGGCCCACACCTGTGATCCTAGCACTCAGGAGACTGAGGCAGGAGGATCGATGTGAGTTTGAGGCCAGCCTGGGGTACACAGCACCTGAGAAGATTAATACCGATGCTCTGCTGTTGCCCTTGGCCTACTGGACAAGCACTGTGGGTGCAGGATCCAGGAACCTGTATTGTATTGTATTGTATTGTATTGTATTGTATTGTATTGTATTGTATTGTATTGTATTGTATTTAGTACCGGGGATCAAATTTGGGTCCTTGCGCTAGGAATCTGTATTTTACTGAAAACAAACTTCTCTCTTTTTTTTTTTGGTACCAGGGATAGAACTTGGGTCCTTGTGCTTATGAGGCAAGTGACAGAACCACTGAGCTAAATCCCCAGCCTGAAAACAAACTTCTCTTGATGAGCTTTTTTTAGGACATGTTTACAGTACATAGTGCACGCATGCACTGTGGGGGGTCCATACCTGTGCATGGAACATCTTCACCCTACATTCCCTTTCCCTCCCTACACCTCTCAGCCCTCCCTCCCATTTGCCAAAGTGCATCTCAAAGATCTCAACCCGGAACTGAGTTCAGGAGCCACTTCCTGTGTCTCCTACTTCTGGAACTGTATCGGGCCACATCCTCCTGCAGCGGCATGTGACTTGGTTTGTGTCTGCAGCATCTTCGCCAGGTGCTGTGCTCCTGCTGCACCTGCAGCCACACCAGCTGGGACACTGCGGCCTCCGTCACCGGGCTCCTCCAGCAGGAGGGCGGGACCTCTTGTCTCACCAAGCACTAACTCTCCCCCTCGTTAGACACTCGACAAGCACTGTGTCGAATTCTGGCACCGAGCTGGGGACAGAGGGAGGTCTTGGGGTGTCACCGGCAGATGGCCCTCCCTGGAGCCCCTCAGTGCTCGGGGCCACCGTGCATCCAGAGCCGACCCACTGTGAGGAGCTCTTACGGAAGGTGCCAGTCAGGTCCTGTAGATATAGTGCTTTGTATCCGCCTCAGCACACCAGCTGTCAGAACCAAAGAGGTAAACTCATCTAGCTCTTTGTCACTTTACAGTTACAGAAACAGAGGCCTAAAGAAGTGGCTTCCCCAAGTCCTATGCCTCCGCCACTTGGCCCAGGGCTGTCTTGCATCCTCGCCGCACCGAGGGAAGAGCCCTGCAGGCCTGCCTCATCTCAGCTCTCGGTCCTGCTTCTCTTCAAAGCTTCACGCTGCGCACCAGAAGGGAGGGTGTCAGGTGCAGCTTGGAGGCCTGGGAGAAGGAAGGCCACACCCATACTTACATGGAGCTGGCCGTCCAGCGAGGGCATCAGGCAGCACACACGGAGAAGACTGGCACTGGGGAAGAACAGGAAGCAGAGACGGGGCCAGGAGCACTGGTGGTGGTGGCATTTCCAAGCCCATGAGGGCAGTGGCACCGTCACTCCTGAGCCACTCTGCTAGGCAGCAAAGGCAAGTTCAGACTGGCTTCTAGCACAGGCGAGGCCCTGAGTTCCGT